TTGTTACTACTAGTAAGGCACTTGTTCCTAGTAGCATCTTGTTACTAGTAGTAAGGCACTTGTTCCTAGTAGTGATGCACTTGTTACTAGTAGCTTCTTGTTACTACTAGTAAGGCACATGTTACTTACTACTGTACTCGGAGTTTACACAGATTTGGCGTTTGGAGTGATCGGGACTCAAACACATAGAGCGAGCTGGAGCCATTTAATTGCAAGTTCCAAGTCAGGGAACGAGTGATGGATGGGCAAGTGTTGATTGCCTGTGGATCCATTGGAGCCCCGATCCATGGATCTTCATCTATCAGCCAAGGTCACACCTACAAAACACAAGCCGGATCAAGAAAAGCTCCTTCAAGCTCCTGTTTATCACCGTCCACGTCATCTCTGTTCAATCACCACGCACCATCATGCATCATCCCATTGCAGATCACGCAGACTGACCATCCGCCGTTGGTCGCACGACCACTGAATGTGCACATACATCAGAGAGCTCAGTCCATTCTTCCTCCTCTCTGAGGCCAAGTTGCAGCCATTGGGCGCCAGAACGCCTCTCAGCCACTTGAACTTGCCATCCAACCTTTCCAGGGCACCGGTGGCATGTGACAACAGAGTGTGTAGTTTGCAATGGACTGGTCAGGATTGGCTGGTGATTTTGATTGCGCATGAGGAGTGAAAACAAGTGGAAACAGATGGAAACAGTATATATAGTACTCTTATCAGATAGCATCAAATTTCGGTGACTGGTAACACGTGCAAAAGTAATTGCGGGTGGCATCAAGCAAGGCCATATATCACACATACTCTCTGATTCCCTCAAAGAGAGCATATTGCCAAGTAGAAAGTGGGGTACTCATTCTTCACCGACTCAAACCATGAGTCCAACCACTCCATGAACCCCAACCTCGCCGATCCCGCTCGCCGATCCCGCTGGCATTCCGAGCCACTTTGGGCCGATCAAGTTCACCTCGCGGCTCACGGGATCGATTCCTCACATTGATTCGCTGCGCCCGCGCCGGTTCGCAGATCGGCCATCGCAAGGGGTCGTCTCGGACTTCTTTTTGGCGGGTCAGGTGAAAGAACGTCCAACTGGTGGTGGTGTAGCTAGATTTTTGTTTAAGCCAAGTGCGCGCGGCGCATGTGGTAAGAATGTCTACAACTACACCTGATTTCACGCAATTGACTAGAATTCTGGAACGTGGCTCAACCTTGGGTTTCAGATTGAGATAGGTTTCGTAGAGATGACTAAATGTTAATGGACCCCTGTGTCAGCAAGTCGAAGTTGAACCTTTTCAACTGCGCGATAGCTCCACATCATGCTTTAACATAAGGTCATTGGCTTTCTTCTGAACAAGCCCACTGCCTGACACACCCAATACTTGTAGAACAAACAAACATGCAAACCTCACCAGTCATGAATGGCAAAAACATACCAAAACAGTGAATCCTGGCAAAACGATTGCAACATGCAAATCCTGGCTGAACTGATCCGCCAGGCAGCTTGGGCCGTCTCCTGCTTCCATGTTTCTCCCTTGTTTTGGACCTGAGCCAAGGCACGCAACACCTGCTTGGCATGCCCTGGGATGCCATAGATGAGGCCATCACCTGTCACAGTTGAGGCGTTGCGCGACTTGGTGAGGATTGGCTGGTTGCTGGCGTGCCTGACTGTAACCCTTATGTCTTTGTCTTATACATCTAGTTACTAGTTATACAATTCACCTTATTTGCTCCTTCTTCAAGGCTGTTCAAATCAGGCAACAACACCATTTTAAACCAACCAAGCAAGGCTTGACCTCTACCTCAACGAGCCCAAAAAGGAACCTCGCAACTCCCAAGACCTGAATCTCCATCAACAAAATTATGTGGTCTTGCACCTTCTCCCAAGTCCAACGTGCAAGGCGGACTGGACGACACCAGGTGCTTCTTCTCGCACACCATCGAATCCGACCCATCGCCCCATCGAATCCAACTCGCCCACCATCCTATCTCCATCTCGCCACACCCGATCTCTCTCGACCGCCTCGCCTGCACGGACGCCGCCCAGGTATTTGAATTGGCCCATGATGGGACCGCCGAAGGTCCGCACCGAAGGCCTCCGAAGAGGAGAAACAGAAGGACCGATGGGAGGGCCACTGGGATTCCACCACGGAAGGCCAGGCCCCTTTTTTCCCGGAGCCTTCGTTAAAGCAACGATTATTTTCTTGGAAAAGCAAGGCTTGGCATCTTGATTCATGTTTTTCTTCAATATTACAGTATGTGTCAGCTCACTCTGTTTTCAGGATTGCCGGCTCAGATCGACGTTCCGCCTCCTCGGGTGGGAGTGGTGGGCCACTTGAGCCTCAACTACGTTTGCCAGACACATTGCGTCGGACGCCGGCTTCGACTTCATGTGTCAGCTCACTCTGTTTTCAGGATTGCCGGCTCAGATCGACGTTCCGCCCTCTTCAGACTACCATGGTTGCGTCAATCTGAGCCGTTCGTGAGCTGGCGTCTTATCCGACACGAGGCTCAAGGGTTTGAACTTGGAAGTCTTCTTTTCCTTGATCTCGTTGTCCAACTTCATGGCGGCGTCCAAGAGTTCTCGAAGCACAACAAAGTTCAACTTCTCGAACTCCACCGTCATCCGCTTCTTGGGGTCGAATTTTTCGAAGCGTTCTTTGCTTAGATCGTCTGATTCCTCATTCTGTTCTCTGGGAACCCACGTGAGGTTCAAATCAACATCAAACAAGTCCAGCTGGCGAGACAGCTCCACGAGGATCAAACATGCAGGAAACTTGGTGGTCAGGAAGCGGTCTAGGAGGTAAGAGTTTGAAAGATTGTCGGTGAAACCTGTGATGGCCACTCTTCCTGAACCGCCCCTCCAACGGCCTTCAGGCCCAAAGGTCATAATGGCGACCGTGGCCGCCAACAACTCTGAAGTGGAGATCGTCCTGAACGGCTCTCCTTTCACATAGAGAAAAGGCGCGACCTGGCGGTTGAGCTTGAGGTGGAACCACCTGGCCTCCATAGGGTTGGAGGTATGGTAAGTTTCCCATCCTCCGATGGCCACCCCTTCGCCGTCAGCCATGGCGTCCACTCTGAACACCTCCCCCAGCACACAAGGTGGGCTGGAAATAGGTCTCATAGGTGCCTCCAGTATGGCGCCCTCGAAGAACTTTATGGCAATCTTGGTGGCCAGGTGAAGGTTGAAGTAGCTCCCGCTCTTTACTTGAGACGATGCCGCGTACAGAGGGGCCAGAAACGGCCGAGATCGTTTGGAGATGCCCGCCAAGAACCCGAGACGGCCTAGCCCCCCTTTGAACTCACGCCCCAACATCCTGCCTTGCGTCACTGCCCAGTCACACCACGTCTTGAGCCAGGTCACCTTCCTCTGACTGATGCCCAACTTCCACTGGTGAAGGTCAATGGCATACCCAATCCACTCAGTCTCAAGCCCTCCCCGTGTTTTGCTCGTCCATGAGCTCCAGGTACAGGAACATGCCCAGGACCAACTTGTGGGCCTCAGCTCCTCCTGCCAGCAACAAGCCATCGTCGGCGAACAACAGGAGGTAGATCAAGGCATTGACGGGGATCACTTTGTGGAACACCCGGAAAATCAAGCCAGCTAATCTCCCCCACCAAAACGCCGCGCTGGCCACCCCAAACGTCCCTCGGGTGTTGAGGTAGATGGTCTCCTCCTCCTCCAACCTGCAGGCCTGCAAACCCCAGTCCCTCTTGTGTACTGGTACTAGACGATGCGCAGACTTGATGTCAAAGGCCATCATGAACCTTGCCGTCACATCATGCTCCTTGAAGGCTCGAAGCGCGCATTCCAGGTCATCGTACTGGGGAAAGGCCATCTTGTTGGGCTGTTCTACATGCGTGTTCACGCGGAGCCCGTGCGTCCCGTCATGCACCACCCGGACGTCTGACCATTCCTTGTCCTTCGGGACCGCCCCAAGAGATGCCACCTGCAAATCATCACCATATTGCCGTTCACCTTCTGCACGAGACATCTCAACCATCCAACCCTTGTCCACGTCCTGCAGGATATGGGTCCTGACCTTCTCCATGTGCTCCTTGGCGGACAGGTAGTTCTCGCGGAGCACAGCTTCATTGTTGTCCTCCTCCCACTGAATGGCGCCAGCCTCCTCCGAGCCGTGCTTCTTGTCGTACACCGCCTCAATCCAGGGAATTTCGCCCCGGACCCCCAGCGGAACCCCAGTGCTGGCCATGTCCTCTATGAAGCGGTGGTCCGAGTCCTCAACAATTCTCCCCCGCGCCAACAGCCTCCGGAAGGCAATCTCAGAGGGGACGTCATCCTCCAACCTGCTTGGTTCCTGGCCCAACCGCCTGACCACCTCATCGAGCCTCTCCTTCATTGCTGGGACCACCTCCTTGAACGGCGACCCAAAGCCAACTCCGCTATCAGGCGCAACCTGCTCTTCTTGTCCAAACCGGTCGCGTAGTCGTCCACCTCCTTCCAAAACGCTCCCGCCAACGCCGAAGAAGCCGAGGTTCTCGGTGGGCATCGATGACCTACTGGTCGGATCCCTGGCGAGTTGAGGCCCAGTCCATCAGTCATCCTTCTCGCCTTGCCCTTGTACCACACCTGGTGAGGGGTCCACATGCCCTTGTTGGTTGGCTGTGGCAGTGCGCTCTCTTTCTCGCCTTTGTGGAAGGAGGCCCTATTTGATCTTGTTGACGCGGAACATCACCGCCCCCTTCTCCGCGAACGTCACCTTCCACTTCGGGATCGTGCCCTCCTCCTGGAACGTCACCTTCATCTTCAGGGCCATGATGACCTTCGCAATGACCTTCACGATGAAACTCTCCCCCCCTTTTCTCCCCCTCCAGCTCGGAGACCACTTCTCCATCGACTCCTTGAAAGAGCTTGGAGGCGAGCCAGAAATCCATGGCCGGGGGGTAGGCGGCCGCTGCTGAGGTGGCAAATTGATCATCGCCAGTCTTCTTGATGAGGGGGATGTGGGGTTGCATTGAGGTGGTAGAGGCCCCACGTAGTGGTTGGAGGAGTCCAACACTGGCAGCCCTGCGAAAAGGTCAGGTTGCAGGGTGTCCAAGTTATGCAACAACCTGGTGGGCTTGGGTGAAGGTGCGCCCAGCCGGCATTGATAGAAAGCGCCAGTATATGCCGTTGCATTTGCCACCCATGAGACGACGGGCAGTAGCTGCCAAATGGATGCTGGGCGCATATCAGTGCCCCAGCGTGATGTAGCCCCCAAATCCTCAGGGTCAAGCAGGAAGAGGATCTGCCAGTGAGATGACCCTCAAACAAAACTCAACCATGCAATTGCTCTTGTCCACTTTCAACTTCTTCTCTCCCTCTAACCAAGGAAAACCCCAGGGGTGAAGCGAAGAACGAAGCGGCCTAGGCCCTAACGAATTCGCCCTCGACCACGTCCCGCAAGGTGGTGACATGATGACGGCATCGTAGAGGCCCTGCTGCAGCTTGCCGACGAGATCCTCTTGGAGGTTCTTGTTCAACAAGTCGTGCGATGAGCTTCTCAAAATATCAAAGGCGTTCACGACGACCCGGCAAGATGTCTCGGCGGAGTTCGCGAGACGCTGAAGTGCCTCAGGAATGCCAGTATCTCTTTGAGGTCCGGCGAACAAATAAAGAACTCTAAATTCTCTGCACGCATTCTTCTTCTCCTGCGCTGCCCCAGCCCCTAGTCATGCGGGCTTGGGCCCCTCTGGATGCTCGAAGGTGGGGTGATCCGGTGACATGCAAATGCGGCAGCAATGAACCCTGCCGCACTGCCCTTGACAGCCTTCTCCTTTGTTGTTCCATGCAAAGCAAATCTGTCTTCCATCAGGCGTAGTGCCCTGAAGTGCCCCAGCCTTCGACTTGCCCTTCCCTTTCTTGCTCTTGCCCTTCGACTTTCCTTTGCCCTTCTGGTAGTTCGCCTCGTATGGATGTGGCCGCTCTTGGTTCCTTCGGTTCTTCCATGGCTCTTGAAGGCTTTGGGACGCCGATGAAACCGCCAAGGGGGTGCTGAAGTGACGTTGCCTGATGTCGGGGTTCTTGGTTGCCTGCCTCAATGCCGTGGCCAGCTCCACACCCTTGTTCACCTCATCCACCGCCTCTTTCCTCATCTGGTACTCGTAACCCACAATGAGCTTCAACGATGGGCGGTGCAAAGTGATCCCGTCCACGGTCTGTGACTCCAACTGGGCCACGTCCTTAGAACAAATGTAGTTCAAATACTCCATGGCCACAAAGGGGTTGAGGTCCTTCAAAACCTGCTTGCTCGGATACCTGAAACGGGCAAAGATGAAGTGGTTAATCATCAGCATGATCTTGCTTCTAAACTCCTCCATGTTGGCGGGCGCCGCCGTTTCGATCTTGGCCTTCTTGATCTTCAAGATACCTGTCTTCCCCACCTGGATGTTCCCTGTCTCCGCCTCATCGTCCTCGTTGCGAGAACCAAAATGCCTGAGTGCCATGGGCCGTAGTTCACCCGTGTCGATTTGCTCGCACAGGTCCTCAAAGCTGGGTTTACCTGGACACTCAGAGTCTTTCAAACGAAAGAACCTTCTCTCGTACTCGGCCCGGAACAGCTGCAACTCCACGTTGGGTATCGCCTTGGGGACTTTTGCCGCCGTGGCCTCCGCGTCCATCTCATTCTTGGTTTCCATCCTCTTTGAGGCAGATTGCCATGCCAGGTACAATGTTGCGAATGTGATCGCGTCCGATGGTCGTGCAGTGCTGTCCACCCCCAGGCTGCTCCGAGCCAAGGTCTCCAGTGATGACCTATCGACAGCCACCACCGACAACATAGCCAAGTTGTCGATCCCAAGGTCGTAGAGACCCGCCTGAACCGACTCAGGCACCCGACGTGCATCCACGAGCCCCTGAAGATCAGGGGCCAACAAAGCGACCTTCTCCTTGTCGGTCGCCATGGCCCGGTCTCCGCCGATGCCCAATCCCCCCTCCGAGGGGACCCGCCCTCCGGGCTGGAACCAAAAGCGAGAAGCCCGCATACGACGACCGACCCAAACGCACGACCGACGAAACCCTCCAAACCTGGTGGCCGGGAGGCCCCACCCGTTCACCCCAGGCCCGTTTTGGACTCTTGCAGTCAGCTCCAGTGCGGCCTCCGCCCTCCTCCAGTCCGCTTGCGCTGAGCTAGCCTCAGCAGCCCCTTCCTCCTCTGACGAGGATGATGCCAGGTCACTCTGAACCTCCGCCTCTGCCCCAGCCTGGATCACCTCCAACATCTTCTCCTTCGCCCCAAAGCATGTGGAGCAAAGCTTCTCACCCTGCTTGGGGTCAATGTCGGGCCTTTCACTTCCAACGACCACGTACTCCCGGTAGTGGACCCCCGGGATGCGGTAACAACCTCCGATGACGTGCAACGTCCTGGCCTTGGACCTCCCCACCACCGACAACACGAACGTGCCCATGGGGAACTCATCGCCCTTGTCCGCCGCATCCACGTTCTGGTCCTCCTCTTCTGAGAAGATCTCTGTCGGCGACCATGACCTGACGCTCGGGCTATCCACCTGAACCGGGCCTTCCTGCCCCTCTGCACTTGCGCTGCCACCCCCGTCCTCCACAATCTCCGGTTCAACTGGTTGTAGAACTCGGCCATGAACCATCCCCCACTGTGGAGGAGCGATGGGCTGCGCCTCTCGGTTGGCCTGACTCGGAACCTTCTTGTGCACGTCCTGCAACCATAAGGTAAAGTGCTTCACCGTCGCCATGTCGTCGACTAGGTCGTGCACTCCATAGGTCCCCCGGATCCTCTTGGCCACCGTCTTCTGGGCCTCAAAAGTCAGCCTGCGGGTGGTCGTCACGTAGCCTTCATCAACTGATGGCCTCCAGCGACCCCAACGGCGTCTGTCCTCCTTCTCCACCCCGCAGACCGCTGCCCAGCTCATCATGGTGATCCGCTCTGAATGCTCTGAGAAATAAGCCGTGGACTCCGGGAGCAACAACGGCACCTTCTCGCCCTCACCGTCCACCAACCTCGAAGGCAGCTCAGCCAACAAGGCCCGTGAGTAGGCCATGGCATCCGCGTACTTCATCATCGACTTCCGGAAGCCGTCCAGCTGGTGGTTCGGACGTGCCATCAGGTAGTCCCTCATGCCCGTGCCAGCTTCCTTTCCCATGCCCACGAAGATCTCCAGACCTACCCTGAGCCAATCCCTACACACTAAGTATGCCGAGCTGCTGACGAAAATCTGAACAACTTCAACTCGTCTTCCAGCCCCCGTTGTTTTGGAGCGGGTGATATCCGCCTCAAACCCAGTGGTCGGGTCATAGGAGATGCTGGCCGGAGGGATCCCCTCGGCGTCGTGACACCTGAGCGCTCCCCATAGTTTCAAGAGCTTGTACCATGCGAAGGTCCTCTTGTAGGGGTGCAAGTCGCTATCCATGAAATGGTGCGGTCAAGCGCCCTCACAACTTCCACCGGGAGCCGGGCCGCCTTGACGGTGGGCTTGGGCAGCCAGTGGTCCCCACGCTCCAGCTCCAACAGAAAATGTTGGAGAGAGGCAGCACTCGTGATCTTCTGCTCCTGCGGGATTTCGGCCGACATTTCCAGAAAAGCTACGGCCTTAAAGAAGGACCCTGGCACCGTTTTGCCGCATGGTTCTTCCATTCGAAGAGCTATGTAAGCTATTAAATCACCTTCATGCCGAAGCCAGGGAACACGGTAAATGCTTTTCATGTACTCGTGCAAGCGCTTGCCGTGAAGAACATGTTGACGTATGGTCGACCCCCGTCTTCCCATCGCAAACCGGTTCACGAAGTACTTCAATCCCTGGGGACCTCTCTTCTCGCCATCGATCAAGCCCGTCACCTCCAGGAGCTGGATCAGCATGCCCACCCACCGTTCTCGTTCTTTATCTTCTACCACCCTACGCTGGTCCTCGGTGTCGCATCCATGTAGAAGACGTTCTCCTCGAGTGCGCCATGACACCCTCGGCAAACCTTTTCTCGCCACCACCATGGACGTGCCAATGCTCGCCTCTCCGTAGGAGGTCTCATTGATCTTGCGGTTGATCAGGTCCTGATCCTTGTACAGCAATCGCTGGTGCTGCAAGAACAAATGGTCTTCGAGGTCCAGCTTGGTTCTCTGTCTTTTGGCTTCTCGTTGAAGCCAACTAAATTCCCGCTCCGTCCAGGCCTCGGCCACGAGGGGGATCAAGCCGCGGACCTCCTCCTCGTTCATGCCATGAAAGAAAGCCAGGGTGGACTTCTCCCACCCCAGCTCCAACAGCTGCCCAAGGCAGCCCGGCTCCATCGAGGCACCTTGGCCCCAATCCATTTGAGCCTCAACTACGTTTGCCAGACACATTGCGTCGGACGCCGGCTTCGACTTCATATGCATCTAATCAATGTAGTGCCCTTTTCTCCTTTCGTTTGGTTGATGGCCCACGGGTATCCTTTTGCTTGTTCTGTTGGTTTGGTTGCATCTAGGGTGGGTTGTATGAAGCTACCCATTGCAGCCCCGCGACATGAAGACCAGGCTGGCGGAGGTGCAAAGCAACAGAACCCAGCTGCTGGCGCGCCTTCAAATCGACCGGGAACCAATTGAGAGAATGTTCATCGGGTGAGGTGGTCAATTGTCAATCGAAACAAGTAGAGCTTTTGAGCGTCAACGCATAGCCCTTGCCGTCATATGCATCAGCAATTTTGGGGGATCCCAAGCAATTGAAATACGCTGTTACACGTAATATACCAGTACCTCCTGTATAGCTTTGTCAGAATGGCACAACATCATCCAATGTCGATTGAATGACTCTAGTCATCCCAGGCGGAGAAGCTACTAGTTCGCCATGCAACCTCTCTCGGCCCAACGCAGCGCTTCGAGACCTCAGACCTTGCGACCCTCGAAGCGCTGAAATGCATGGCGCATGGCCCTGACTGAACTCGCTGGGGCAGTTCTCGCAGTTCGCTTCGGCCACAGCGGGGTCAAACAAAAATTGGATGTCAGGGGTCAAACGTCACTTGACTGGCAGCGTAGAACAACGAGAGGGTTTGTTCAACTGTGTCTTTGAGATCCCAACTCCAGAAAATTTCAAGGGATGGCCCATGCCATGCTGCTTTTTGGCACAACTATCTAATTGCAAACCACACTAAGTCACCGTGACCTTGGAGGCGGCTTCAGTTTCGAAAGTTTTCTTGCACAGCTTGGATCTGCAAATGGCTGGGAGCAAAGGATTGTAAGTGCACCTTCTGCCAAAAGATGGGATGCGTTTGTGACATGCCACTGCCGGAAAAGGCATCTGTCTGAATCCACCTGGAACAAAAGAGGTGAGTCATGGTGATTCAAAATGTTCCTGCTCTCCATGGAAGAATTGGAGCAATCTTTTTGTGGATTCAGCGATTCACTGTGATTTATGGCATGATCACAGCAAACAAAGTTGTCCGGCTGACAAAAAGAAGTTTCTCTAAGCACACAAATCGTGGTAGCAGTGAATTCCAATATCTTCAGATCCCAGTCAGGGAGACTCTTTTCATCGTTTTTGGCCAGGTTCTTGACAGATCCCTGTCATCTGCACGGCTCTTTCTCCAAAGAAATGTTCCACGGCAAAGAGCCAATGACCACAACCTGACATCTGCGCGGATGTCTGGATGGCATTGCGCGTGACATGCGAGTGTTGAACATGCAGCCATGGAGTAAGGCTGCAAATTACTACCATCAGGCGGTTTGATGTGGGACATGTTTGATCTTGCCGGTTGAACATATATCGAACAGCAATAAGTAAGCCTCCAAAATGTTGAATTGTATCAGCATCGATGTCATTGGGACCCTAATTCAAACATCCATATCCAAATTTGCTGGACAAGCTTTGCTACATTCATCGGTCTTCTGTGGTAGGCAAAGAAACAAAACATCTCCAAAAACAATTGGAAGCGCCGAGTGTTTGCAGGAAAATGATGCTGCGATGGTTTGAATCTACCACGCAACAAACGGCACAGATTGAACATGACGGATCACAACAACATCATGAACCAGCATCCGCTCCACCACATTTTGGAGCTCAACCTTGGAGCTAGGTTGGTCCGAAGCTTGGAGGTTCCTTTCAGCCAAACGGAAGGCGTTTCCCGTGCCGGGAGGTGAAGATGCGCCGAGTGTCCAAAAAATCAACCACACTGCTCTTCTTGTATTTGTTTCTTCTTGCTGAACCAAACTGTTCCAATGGAGGCATTGCACAGCTGCTTCTTTCCAAGAAAACTCTGGGACACATGGAAATGCCGAAGCATCAAATTGTGTGCCGTCACTGTTAATGGAATCCAGCACCAAAGGCTGGCTGTCCTCCCTCCTGGAATGCCATCAGGCTCTTCTGGGTGAGGACCCAAGCACTCACACTACTACTAACACTTACCTGGTGGCAGCTCACGACTCAGAAGAACATCTGGAGCTCTGCGATAAGGCAGAAACTCCAGTGCCTGGTGGTGGCACTCCAACCCAAACATCAGCTGCTGCCAGTGACTCCTGGGCGTTCCCTTTCTGAAGTGCCACTCCTTTTGGTTTCATCAACTGCAGTTGGTCCAATACTACGACGATAACACACACACAACCCAAGTATTACCCATCTTCCACCAAAACACACATTGTGGGGTCCTTGTATACTTTCAATTACTTTCACGCATTATATGAGAGGCAGCATTCGTTGAAATTGAGGTGCGTGCCAAGAACACCGGGGCTGCAAACACTTGTCACACCTCTCCAAATAGGCATAGCACGTTTGCAGCGCCTCTTCTGCTTGGAGATGGAAGATGTGCACGAATTGGTCAAACTCATAACACCAGCTGAATCAATATGTTCAAGATCCACTGCCAAGGCCAAACATGTGCAAAACTGCGCGCCTTTTTTGTTTTTCGTGGGGAATGGATTCGTTGTATGATATCAGCTGCCCAAAGGACACGAGCTCCATATACATTGCAAGGGAGCTCTTACAGTGGTGGCACTCCAACCCAAATATCAGCTCCTGCTAGTTGTCGAAGGAAGCGAAGGACCAACTTGGCCAATATGTTTTCTATCTATGAGTAGCCCACGTAAAGCATCCTACAAAGCACTGACACTGTATCTGGAATCAATATCTTAAGCATGTCATTGTTGTTTGAGGTGCTGACATTGAGGTGCGTGCTAAGAACACGCGGCATTCAAAATATGTGACGAATTCTATCAAAATCTGGACAGTCAGCGTAGGAACTGGTCTATATCTGCAAACTTCTGTTGCCCCATCACCAGTGATCACAAACCTGACAGCACTTTATCATAATCGTTTGCCGTGAATTATCATTTGCAGCAATTCCAGTGGTCGACGTAATTCAGAACGTTCAAAGAACACTGATGAAGGACATCTTGTATAACATCAAACATTCTATTCTATATATTCTATTGTACAACAGTGTTTTGCTTTTTTTCCTAAGCATGATACAGGCCGCTGCAACATCTTGCAACCGATCACCGGGTACCAAAAAGAACTGTGACGCCGCTACTGGAACGCATCAATCCGAATAGTACCCTGGAGCGGTGTCGGGAATGCTCCAGGAGTCTGCTTGCACTGTCATCTTCCTGCCCTTGCGGCGGCAATGCTTCCCTGCGCGACGAATCTCCTGGAGCTTGTGGCCGTGGCTGTGGATGCACGCTGGCGGGCTAAAGACGGCCACTGGCATGTCTGGTTGGAAGGCAATCTTCAACACAGTCTCAGGTCCCGGCACAAACTCTATGGAGGTCAGCTTTGTGGGGACTTGTTCGCCAACCATGACCTCGTCGCCAACTTTCAGCTCTGCTGCTGCGACCTGGAACAGGAAAAAGATTGCTTGCCATGCAAACAATTCTGATCTCTATAGAACAAAGACACAAACAAGGATCGAAGTTATGTTTGGTTCTGACAAGGTACTAAATGACCATTGCCCAAGACCACACGATGGTCCGGTGTTACCTGTAGCTTGGCCTCCTGGGCATGGAGGAGCAGAGTGGCGCGTGCAGCTTGCTTCTCTGGTGGGAGTGCAACCTGCAAAACGGTGGTCCAGTCAGCTGCAAGGATCTGAGACCCTTTGTACCTGAGATGATCAGTGGTGATCTGTGTGTACAGTCGCTGTGCGGAAGGGGCGGGCTCGCACAGCTCGTTTCTTTTTGGACTGTGGGTACATTTGGCAACTTAACTTGCACTATTCAATCCTGGGCCAAATTGACAAAGACTAAATAGGAGCAACTGGGAGAAGCTCTGAGTTTATCAATCAAAGCGGAGATGCAAATCAGCCCCACTCAGAAATTGGCCGCTGGGCGTCTTGAAGAGCGCGTCCGGCATAAAGCAGAAGGGGCCCCCGGTGCCTACAGAGAAGCAGGAAGTTGCACTGATGGCACTGCTGATCTCACTCTCTTCCTGGATCAGGAACCAAGATCCTGAGCCATCGTTCAAATCTGCCTGGCAGGGGCAGGATTGGTCACTTTCCTGCCATCCATCCTTGGCACTATGCCTCGTTGACTTGAAGTCATCCACGTCCTCCTTCATCTTCAAGTTGCCATTGGTGGTCAAGCGACCATACTTCAAGTTCATCTCGTGTAGATCCTTCCTTACATTCAGCAGTTCTCTCTGCAACTCCAGCTTCTCAGCCGCTGCTTTCATGCTGCATGTTTCATTTTTCAATCTGAACCCCTGCACTTCATCCCTCAGTTTCTTCAATTCCCTCTCCAACATCTTAACCTTCTTGTCAGACTCCACGAGTTTCTCCTTGAAATGCATCATTGGAAGCGTGTGCTCCTCCATCATATCACTCTCCCGTCTTTCACAAAACTTTTTTGAGGCTGAAGATTCGTACTCTACCTTCTTCAATCTCTCGCGAATCTCTATCACCTGACATCTCCAGTGGTCATTTTGTGAACTCGGCTTCGGCAACTCTTCTTTCGTCTGCAAGCTGTCCTTCAGCAATTGCATCATTTCTTCTTTCAAGCGCCGTGAGGCCAAAAGGGCTTGCGCTTGTCCTTCAACATGTCTGAAGTCCACAACAGCCGCTATTTCCCCCAAACCAGGAGGAAGCGATGCCCACATTTGGCCACAAAAGAGTTCGCACCACTTGACTTCCTGCCCTGGCTTCTTCACCTGGTTCCAACCTACCATGGCATGTTGCGTCAACGTGCACAACTGCTGCAACTTTGATGTGTCTTGTTCAGACAGCGTGGAGCTGCCACCTGTGATCCGAGCCCGAAGTTCTCGGAGCAAAAGGCGAAGGACTTCGGTGGCCTCTGGGATATTGGTGTTCTTCAATGACTCTAAAGCCGTGGAAAGTTGCTGAAGGTCTGCTCCCAGAGCCTCCAAAATGCATTTCTGAACGCCATAAAGCAAGAAATTTGCCTTGGAATTCAGGTGCAGCACGTCGTTGACCTTGTCCAGGTCCTCTCGCACCATGCTCTCGGAGATCCTGGCGATCCAAGCCTCGAACCCTCGGAGCTGCAACACTCTCAGCGTCCCATTGTCCCCGAAGATCTGATACCGCTTGTGTAGCTGACCAAGTTGGTGGCGAAACCGTTGCGCTTCACCCTTGGTCAAAAAAAGTGCGGCAAAAAGCACAGCAACCTTTTGAAGATCCACAGAGTAAGCTTGAAGGTCTATGTAACAGTAAAACATCTTCAAACGCCAAAGAATAGTTTACCTTGCTGACACCATTCCTCAATTTGAACCACGCCTGGTTTTTGATGGTTTTTGCCCTCCTTCTCCTGACCAAGTCACCTCTGTCAAACCCAGCGGCATGAAAGGCTCCTGAGGGCGCGTGGAGACAGTGGGTGAAGATTTGGCAGCAAGGTGGAAAATTACAAAATACCTGAGCCCGCTCTAGGCCGGAGGCCATCGCTCTTGGGTCTTAGGTTGGAGGCGCCATTCCTACTATAGACTTTATGGTCGAGTCATATCTTATTAAAGAATCTTTCGGTTGGAGGCCATCGCAAGAATGTTGGCTGGAGTGAGGTGCTGGCTGAAAGATGTCCTACATTGGGAAGTACCAGATTTTAGTATGAGCAAGGGTGACAGCGTCAAATGGTTTGCTGGACCATGAAACCTGTTTCAATCTGCTTCATATATGGCAGATCTGACCTGCGTACCCACCTTGCATTTCAAGACATTCTTTCACTTCAGCTCCCGCTCCTGCAACGCGTCCATCAGCGCCAGTCGTGGCACACACACTTGCCATTGCGCTTGTGACAGGAGATCTCTCAAGTCCCCAAAGGCCACTTCGTAGTCCACAGGACCAGGAGGACCTTGACCACGACTCTGCCGCAATGCCCATATTTGCGCGCAAAACTGAGTACACCACCCTCTCACACTCTTACGTTGGTCCCACTGATCAATTGCGGTTCGCAGCAACCCGCACAAATATCGTAACCTTGATGTGTCTTGTTCAGACAGTGTGGAGCTGCCACCTGTGATCCGAGCCCAAAGTTCTCGGAGCAAAAGGTGAAGGACTTCGGTGGCCTCTTGGGTTTCAGCTTGCAAAGACGTCAGGGCGGCCAAACGCCGCTGAAGTAGATCTCTCAAAACCTCCAGGTTGTTTTTGATGATGGAAGAAACATGAGCGCAATCTCTAGAGTTTAGCACAGCACTCACCTTCTGCAGATCTTCTCGTACGTCGTCCTCGTAGATCCCGGCGATCCAAGCCTCGAACTCTTCGATGCCACGAAGCTTGAAATAACTTGGCAAAGGCTCATTGATGCCGTACCTGGTGTGCAACTCACTTAGCTGACCAAAATGTTGGCTTGCGGGTTCCTGAGCGCGGTCCAAAGGTGAGATGTACTTGTTTTCGGTCTTTGCGAAACATGCGAAACCGGAACAAAACAACTCAGCAGGTCTTTTGTCCATTTCAACACGAAGTCCATCAAACATGGAACCACCACTTGCGCCGTTTGTCACAAATAAAGCTGACAAGGCGCCGCCATGAGAAGACCTTCGGCTCTAGGGCTTTTTGGTCAAGGGCAGCCGAGGCGCATGATGCGCGAGCTTCAGCCGAGAGTGATACGGCAACAGTGGCACAGTGGCTCATTGATCCTGAATGTTCGGTAGCCAAATGAAAGTACTGAGCTGGCATGACTTCCATCGCACGTGGGAAACACAGATTTGCCAAACTATCTGGCTCGGCTCGCTTGCGGGCCTCCAATGGCCATCCAGCGACACTGCCTCAAGATCGGCCGTTCTGACCTGGACCTCCTGGAGGGTTGTGGGGAAGGCATCGTCAGCATGCAAACAAGCTACATAATACAGCTATATATGTTGAGCGTCCAAATATGGTATAATACCTTCGGTCTTGGAACTAGCGAAGAGCGTTGCTCTAGTTTCGCAGGTCTGTTGGAGCTGAAGAGCGTTGCTTGGAGTCCAACGCTCGGAACCCGAAGCGTTTCAGATCGCCAAGGTTGGACTTGAAGCTCGAAACACGCACGCACGTGGTCGTAAGTCATCAGGACGTGGATTTTCGGGCTCAAGCGGTCCCAGTTGCGAAACATGTAAAACATGGCCAAGGCAAGCATGTCAATTTGGATTATGGTTTCGGCGAATCCTGGGTGTCCATCAGCCAGGCCACACCTCTTCGAAACTTACGTGCAGTGCAAACATGAGATTCAACGGGTTTACCTGAAGAGTACATACGTGTCTGCGTTCCAAACGTTTTGGTTCTTCGGAATTTCCACGTCCCCGCAAAACTCGGATCAGCTGGCCGCTTGGAGATGCCTTTTGTAGACCGCCTGAATCCTCCGCGTTCACTGGGCAGCGGAACAGCAGTGCAGGTCGGCGAGGGCCTGACGCAAACATATTGGACCACACCAAACCATGCATGGACCACATGGATGAGGATGAAGAGTGATCTCCGCACATCCTTTACATATGTCCCTCGGCCCAAAGAACACCCCAGGGTGTCACTGTTTTGGGCATAGTTGTGGCAACAAAACTATTTGAGGCTTACCTTCATTGCCTTTCATGGCTTTGCTGCAACAAATGCAACCTTTATAACACTACCAAAGTACCAACAAAAGAGGGGATATCCAGAAATACAGAGCAGCAACCAAACCTGACCTTCCATTTGTTCTCCCTTCATCTTTGTGGCACCGGAATCCCACCATCTTTCGGAGGCGGGGTGGATTGTTACATCGTCGCATCATTGAAACACAAAACACATGGAACTGTTGGCCTATTGCGCGCACCTGAGAAAAGCCAATCGTGTGGCAAACAAAAGGACGACAAGAGTGTGCGATCGGCTGTATCGATCGGCTGACAGCTCAGAGCGTGCGCGTAAGCGCTATGGCTATGGAGTTACGATCCACGAACATTTCAACTATGTGTCCAACACCCTGGGATTCCAACAACTACTTAATGGTCTTTGCCAAACAACCATTGTGTGACTAAGGATTTTACACTACAAAACCAGGTCAACCATTTACTTCGTTGTCTCTGAAGGCTAGGGCCAGGCAACATTTTTAACATGGTCGCATGTGGTTTCGCAAGTCGAACTGTCTTGTTGATCTGCACCAAAGAGGGTCCCACATGGTCGACCAACGGAGCTTCTCAGAAGTTGGCCCACAACACATCCTGTTGCTTAAACAGTGTAGTAGGCCTTTGCCACCACCGTGAATGGCTTGAATTGAAAAATAGCTGCGAGGAAACTAATCTCACCCCAAGGCTAAGGCTATGACTATGAAAAGATTGCACCAACCAATACGAAGGCGGCTTAGTTTGAACAACAGTTCCCGCCATGGCCTGCGGAGAGCTCCATCACATAGATGATGGACTGACCTGGCTCCACATCATGTTCCACATGGACTGATTTCCAAGTGCATTTGTGTCGAGGAGGATTTTCTCCAAAGCAAACACGTCCATACGAAGGTTGGAAACAACAACAGGCAGCTCAGTCTAACAAGCCACAACAGTGAGTGCATCATTCAGTGGGATTTTGATCAATTGTAATTATTCTCGGAAGGTTGCCAAGCTCCCAAATGGATCTGGGCAAGTTACTCGCTTTACTGCCCTTGGATATCCAATCGCAAATAGCAAATATTGGAGAATTAAGTCGACCAATCATAATTCTCTGTTGTGGCAGAACAACTCAAACTCTTTCTCCCTCTCTCTGTTATATCGATGGCGTCCTCCCGTCCAAACCAGTCCGTACACACCTTCACAGCAAAGGTCAAGGCAAAATGCGGCGTCGCTTGCTGAGGGGCAAGCCCTTTGGACAGTCCCTTGCTAATGGAAAAAACACAAACTCATCCTTCTGTCCGGAAGGAGCACCTTCGAACCAAAAATGTTTACAATCCTCAGGCAACGAAGAATGACCTACTTTAGACATCTTTACACCACGCAGCCACATAAAAAAGGGCACTTATTTACTTACGAAGACTTTGCCTGTGGCTCGACGCAAACGCTACTGGTTGAGCTGACGGACAATGTGACTTCAACACCTTCAGTAGCTGCTGGATTAAAAGAAACTAAGCCACCGCATTAATGACATGGACATCAACAACACACCTGTGCGACCCAACGTCAGAGGGTGCAACAAATCGCGAGGCCTCAACAACTCCAAGAACTTCTCGGATCGCTTCTCAGACGTTGCCTGGTCGGCCGCTGCACCGCTTCAAGCAATCACTACTTGGAGTCCGAACTTCTGGTTCTTTCGAGCTGCAATGCTGCAATGCTTCGCAAAACATGTGCTGAACTCATCTTCAGAAGAATTGGAAGTACAGGGACTCGACCAGGCATTCTTTTCGACAAAACATCAGGCCAAGGAATTCTGCATGGAGCTGATTGGGCCTTACTTATAATTTTCAGGTCCGCTTCCTAGCCCTAGCTGCGGAATGTTGAGGCTGCCGGGGTGGCACATGGCAAACGAATAAACAACTCTTTTCATCCGTGATTTCTCAGCTCTTGGCTTCAGTAGATGTTTGTCGCGACCCCACTTGAGTTGTGTATATTTTTGTGGTGTGGGGCTTATACATGGGGTCTGTACCTACGCGGGTGCCTACGCCTGGGCTCCCCTCTCAAGCACGAGAGGTTCTCTTTGTTAGGTACCTACGCGGATGCCACATCAGGTGATGCGAAAAGAGCTATATAATCAGCTAGTAGTGGCCCGATGCGACCGGGTCACATCAGGTTCCTGTTTACAAGGCGTTTGCATCTTTGCCACCGATGGCCAGATAGATTTTTTGTCAAGCCAATCCAATTACAGTGTGGAAGCAGCAGCACACAAGCAGCACACAACAAGCAGCAAACAATCAGCAGAAAACAAGAGGCAGCAGCAGCAGCAGCAGAGCAGCAGCAGCCAATAGAGTCTTGCCTACGCGCTGCTTCCGCGAGCGCCTACGCGGGGCCTACGCGAAAATAGGTCCATCGATTAGGTACCAAGACCCTTGAACAACTTTTAAAGAAGTCTGAATAAGAAAATCAATGCGTTAATTAAAAGTGTGCCTACGCAAGACTGCCTACGCAAGTCTTTCAACACCCACCTACGCAAAATGCTTACACGACGCCTACGTCCCAAGCAGAACAGCCTCAGCAACTTCTCAACAGTTCCCTTTTTGTATAAACGTAATCATTTGCAAAAAGAACGTGGCTCACTTGCAGGATGAGTATTGTGATCATGAGTCGGCACAGCACAGCAGCGAGCGCAACTCTTGGATCAGTTGTCAAAACGGTTCTGAAGCCGTGCGGTGACTGGCCAGAGTGTACTCTTTGCCAAGACATGCACAGGCTTCAGAGAAAACGTTGCAGATCCAGCCATGAACAAGTAAAGAACAACGTGTTCATTATGTGTATTATCAGAATGTCCCAGTATCGATCTTCTGAAAACACACCCGGTTAAAGCTGAGTTTCTAACTTCCAATGTCGGCTGCGTCACTTGGGATGATCGATGACGATCGGCAGTAGGCACAACGCATCGGCGTGCGCTACTTGATCAAGACCGCGCGGCCTTTGGCATCAACATGCTGCCAGAAAACGCACCAGTCAGGGAACAAGCAATCTCAATGTCATCTGTACAACTATTTCAATGTCAAACTGTCATCAGTGCGAAGACTGCCGGAGCTTTGGCAGTCGACTGGGACAGTGCGCCCATCCGAAGCATACGAGGCGTGGCCATGACCGTCGTCCGGGACAGCTTCATCCTCCTCAGCCTGTGAGGTCTGGCGGTTCTCGGCATCTGGCATGATGTGGCCACTATGAGCTTTTGGCAAAGCCTTCTTCCTCTTCAGGCCACGGCGCACTGGAGGTCTATCACGAGAACCTTTGCTGAGGATGGCATCTTGCGGAGTGAACCCAGCCACTGGATGATCCGGCTTAAAGGCCAACTTTAGCACGATAGTTGGTTCATTCTTCCTTTCCACATGTGTAAGGGTGGTTTCGGTCTCTTTCAGGATCACCTCGGCAGTGAGCTGTGATGGCTCACCAAACTGCGGACATGGATGATTCCAAATCAATGAATCTTTGCAGGAGGAATTCGAGCAAGGAAGTCCCTGATGAGAACTTGAGTAATTTGAGAGCACAACGACCTCTGGCAAACTAGAAACAATTTGTTGACAAACGACGATGGAAACAGCAAAGATAGTCAAAACATGTCAAAACTTTGAATCGAGTCCGGACACTTTGCTCCCTCGGCGCAAGTCTTCGGCCTTCACAGTCTTACTTCCAGGGACGCTGATGCGATGATCTGGGCTCACCACCAAACACGTGTTTCCTGCGTGCAGCTCGATGACGGACGGGATCTGATGCTGCTCCGGAGGGTGAAGCACTTCGACAACATCTCTTCCATTGGCGGCGACCACTTTGGCTCCTTGAAACAAAGACCTGGCCGGAACGAAGGCTTTTCCAAAGTCTTGGCAAATGACCTCAAAACAGGTCTCCGGCACAACGCAGCATGGGTCTGAAGTCACAAAGATCCATGAGTCATTGGAGCAGTCTGTGACCATAGACCCAGAGTCAGCATCGCTGTCTTCATCTTCAGAAGTAACAGTCGTGAGAGCCGCAGACTTTTGCACGGATGGAGCCTGGCATTCTTCTTGCTTGTTCTGCGGCTTCAGACTGGACTTCAGTTCGATCAGCTCCTCCCTCAACACCACGAGAGCTTCCTTCATCTGCAACTTGTCACCTTTCACTTCCAATACCTCTTCCCTCAACTTGAGCCGTTCCTCCTCCCACTTCTGCCGATGCTCCTTGCCGGTCAAGGCCTCTTGTTCCAATCGCTGGAACGTGTCCTCGAGTTGCTTCACCTCGAAGGGTGCAAATTCAAAAGAACAAATGTTGCCTGTGGCGGCCATTCCACAAAATGATATTGCCATCCCATTAAGGCCAGTCCCTGTCCCCTGAAACACTGTTTGGCAAAGCTAGTTTCGCAGAAGGACCCACCTCCCAAAATATATCTTTGCTCTCGCCTTCACAAAGCTTTCTCACACCGTCCGCAGCCCGTGTTTTGCAAAGCACTACTACATTAACGAAATGAAATAACAATGGTTAAACAAGTTTTGATCAATACTCCATTACTATACTTGAAATGACCCAATAGCTGCCCACCTGGCATTTCAAGTTCTCATTCTCCGACTTCAGTTTCTGCAACTCCAACTGGTCCTGTTGCAACTCCATCACTTCTCGCTTGACACTCAAGCTGCCATCCTTCAACTCCTGGAGTTCTTCCCTCATCCTTAGCAGTTCATTCTCCTCAGTCATGCTTTGTGCCGGCACTTCCTGTGCCACTTCGGCACTTCTCCTGCCCTGCGGAGTTGCAGCAGTAACTCCCCTTCTTGCGAGTATGCTTTGCGCTTGCACTTTGAGATCTTTCAAGTCCTCAAGGGACAAATCGTACTCCACTGGACCAGGAGGACCTTCACCACAAGTTGCCTTGAGTGCACAAATTGGGCTGCAAAAGTGGCGACACCAATTGATCGGTTGGTCGGGGTTCTTGCGGTTCTTGACTTGGTCCCACTCTTCGGAGGCTTTTTGAATCAAAGCGCACAAATGCTCCAACCGCGATATCTCCTGGTCGCACAACTTGGAGCCGCCGCCTGTGATCCGAGCCCAGAGTTCCCGGAGCAACAGGTGAAGGACTTCTGTGGCCGATGGGATTCCTGTGTTCTTCAATGATACCAGCGCAGTCAACCAATGCACCAGCTTTGCTCTCAAGTCTTGCATGCGCTGGTCTATGCGCTCAAAAAACACGGTTCCTTCTACAGGCCTTTGCTTCAAGAAAGACTTGACCTTCTCCAAATCATCTCGCAACACCTCCTCCGAAATCGTGGCGATCCAAGGCTCGAAATCATCAGCACCATGGAGCTCCAGCAGACTCAAGTCCTGCCCGTACTTCTGGCACAGTTGATTCTTACAGGGCGGCGGCAGACGGGATCCCGCTTTTGACCTTGACGCTGCAGCCACATTATGGCGCCACTTTCCTAGTACTGCGACGTTACATTCCCTGACGCCACATTCCCCCCCGACGCCGCATTACCCCCTGACGCCGCATTCTGGCGCCGCATTCCCTGACGCCACATTACCCCCTGACGCCACATTACCCCCTGACGCCGCATTCTTCCCTGACGCCACATTCCTCCCCTGACGCCACATTACTCCCTGACGCCACATTTGACGCCACATTCCCTGACGCCGCATCCCCCCCTGACGCCGCATTCCCCCCTGACACCGCATTCTGGCGCCGCATTCCCTGACGCCACATTGCCCCTCTGACGCCGCATTACCTCCTGACGCCACATTGTGGCGCCACATTCCCTGACGCCGCATTTGCCCGTGACGCCACATTACTCCCTGACGCCGCATTCTGGCGCCGCATTCCCTGACGCCACATGGCCCCTTTGACGCCGCATTACCCCCTGACGCCACATTGTGACGCCGCATTCCCTGACGTGACAGGACCCCGTCTGATGCTCCAAACTGCACGAAACGGTTCTTCGTAGCAGGGGCCGTTTTGACACTGTTGAAGCAGCAGGCAACCCCAACACATGTCCAAGATGTGGCAGAACACACAGCGCAACAATTGGACATTGCACACAGCACATGAAGCGGCAATCAAAGATTTCTGCTGCTATAAACTGCATCTTCAGCCATCGGCACATATCTGCTCAATCCGATCCAACATTGCCATCAGAATTCGTCTGCGGAAAGCAAATTCGGGGTCTAATTCGTCTTCGGAGAATTCGTCTGCGGAAAGCGTCTTCGGGGTCTA